TCATGGAACCTCTGGGCCCTTATTGCTGCCGTTACCCCTGATCGTGCTAGGATCTCTGCCTTCAGATGGGTATAGTCAGTGGCATCCGTGGCGGGCAAGTCAAAGTAGGCCTTCTGGGCCTCTCCACACAAAAAAGGGGCGACAATGCTGGCCCACTGCTCCTGGGGCCACACTTCATGCTGAGCAGTTCTTTCGCATGAGAGGAGATATGCCTCTACGTCATCTCCTGACGTCATCTTTGGAAGACAACCACTGGCCCTCAGGGTTCGCATCCCGTCGGACCCCCGGGCCTGGGTGGTGAGGATCTTCAGCTGGTCCACCACCTCTCTCAAGAGGGCAGAGTCTTGGGTCGCCTGGCTCATCAATAATTGATTGGTTTCCTGCTGTAGCCGCATAGACTCCTGTTGTGCCATTGCCTGAACCCGGGTGGCCTCCTGCTGGGCTGCCATGGCTTGTACCAGAGCTCTGACCACCTCCTCCATTGTGGTACAAAGCAAACAAACAAAAACAAAACAAAAAAAAAATCCAAAACCCTAGTGCACTTTTTTTTTTAAAACCTCTTTCTTCTGCCACGCTGTGAATGAAATCCCACTTCTAACACCAGTTGGGACAAAGCTCTGTCCTTGCCTCCGTGGATCCCGCGTTTCCTGGCGGATTTCGCTAGCCTCAGAGGCTCACTGTGACCCTCCACATAACCCTTCTCTCTCTAGAGACAAGGGTCATAGTCTACTGAGCCACTTTCATCATAAGCCAGCAAGGGAGGTGAGGAGAAGCTATCCTTCCTTGCACAGTCTCTGTTGTCTCCCAGTCTCAGTGATTAATCAGGGGGCAAAGGTGGGGGGGGAGCCCGGGCCCACCCTCTACTCCGGGCTCCAGCCCAGGGACCCTAATAGTATCAGCTATGGTAGCTGACCTTTTAGAAATATGACATGTACAATTCCCTGGGCTACTTCCCCCACAGCAGCCCTCACTTCCTCAAGCTCCACTTCACCCTTACCTCAGGGCCTCCTTCCTTGTGCCTGATATGGTGTGTACTACTCAGCCTCTCCAACAGCACAACTTCCTTCCACGGCTCCTGACATGCGCACCCACCTGACTGCCTGGGAGGCTTTTAACTAGTTTCAGCCAGCCCCTGATTGGCTTCAGGTGTCCCAATCAACCTAGCCTTCTCCCTGCCTTCTGGAAAGTTCTTAATTGGCCCCAGGTGTCTTAATTGACCTGGAGCAGCTTACATTTCACTTAACCTGGCACCAGGGATTTGTTTAGTCTGGACCAAATATATCTATCTCCCACTACTTTTCTATAGCCATCTGGCCTTGCCCCGTCACAGTACCTAAGGGCAAAAACTCCCCGAGCACCCCCTGTTCTGCAGCTGGGGAGGCTGCTCCCTGGTCTGAGGCAGACACTTGGAATGTGGCTTCACAGAGCTGCCCAGGTCCATCCCTTCTCCAGCTGTGCAGTCTGACAGCTAATTACTATCGACCTGGCAATGGGATGTTTCAGCAATGCTTGGGGATGTGCCAAGCACACTGACTCTATTCCCTGGCTTATTAGGGCACAGGATCTTCCATGGCTGACAGTCAGCAAGGGAAGAATATTTAAAGGTGCTGCACAGCCTGAAGAAATCTCCCTTTATTTACAGCTCCAAAACAGAGCTCAGCCAGGGATAGGCAGCAGGCTCCCTTAGGCCAAAAAGTTCCCCCCTTCTCAATTGCAATCAAGGGAGAAAAGTAGAATTGGCACGTCCCCATCTCTGCCCCCCAACCCTAAATGGGTAGGATCCCTGACAACTGTCCCTTTTCAGTGCTCAGGGTAGAAGAGGCCCCTCCCCTGCATAAAAGGTTTGGATTTTAAACTAAAATCCCAGCACTGTCTTCCTTCCATGATGGAGCTGCACCTGCACTACGGCTATAGAACACCACTAACCCAGTAGGGGACAGTGATTCAGCCACTAGAGCCCATTTTCTAATAACACACAAGGTCCAATGTTGCCAAAAGAGAATGCAGACAAGGATAGAACCCCATTCTTAGCACACCTTACTGGTTGTAGTACAGTAGGTAACTGTTCAAAGGCTCTAGAAACACTTAGTATTACTGCCCCCCCATTTTTTAAAAAGAGAGTTACTGATATGTTGGAGTCTGAAAGATCTTCCCACAGAATCTTTAGAGCCATTAGCATTTAGCCAAGTTTTATACCTAGTTTTTTGAAGTATGAATTCAAAGCATACATGAAAATGGCTCCTGTTTTCAAAATTGATTTTGCAGTTCTGAGAGGGATGCCAGCAATGCTGGTCCCATTTTAACCCTACCAATCAGATGTTCTTAGTTTGCATGTCTGTATACTCGTTATACTGTTCCTCTGCTCTGTCTGCTCCATTCTTGTCAGCAAACATATTATGGTAACAAACTAAATTCTTATGCACCGGCATGCCATATTGCATCAGCTCACTGGTCCATATAATCTAATATTCTGTTTCAAACAGTGGCCTGTACCAGATGCTTCAGAGGAAGGTACAAGGAACCCCGTAATGAAATAGCGTGACCACAGCAAAGTTTCTTCCCAATCTCCATCAATTAGTGGTTGATTTAAAACCAGAGGCATAAGAGATCATGTATGTGTCTGATTCAAATCCCATGGAAGTCAATGGAAACTCACCACTGGGTTTTGGGATCAGACCCTAAACCTGTTATTTTTTTTTACACTATCAAGTGGGAACACTCATGGTTACAATATCTTTTTTTAAAACTGTTCCAAGATACATTCAACTGAAGAACACAACTCCCCTGCCAATCTGGGACTTACATTATGTAGAGACAGTTGGTCACTATTTTGTTTTAACAAGAGGAATTCTCTCATGCATCACATTTCAGGAAAGATGTGTGCAAACTGGAGAACATCCAGAGGAGAGCAACAAAAATTATTAAAGGTCTAGAAAACATGAAGTATAAAGAAGATTGAAAAAATTGGGTTTGTTTAGTCTGGAGAAGAGGAGAGACATGACAATAGTTTTCAAGCACAAAAAAGGTTGTTGCAAGAAGGAGGGTGAAAAATTGTCCTCGTTAACCTTGGAAGATAGGACGAGAAGCAATGGGCTTAAATTGAAACAAGAGAGGTTTAGGTTGGACATTAGGAAAAACTTCCTGTCAGAGAAGTTAAGCCCTGGAACCAATTGCCAACGGAGGTTGTAGAATCTCCATCACTGGAGATTTTTAAGAGCAGGTTAGACAAACACCTGTCAGGAATGGTCTAGATAATATTTAGTCCTGCCATGAGTGCAGGGGACTGGACTAGATGACCTGTTGAGGTCCCTTCCAGTCCTACTCTTCTATAATTCTATGCAAAGTTACCTAGGGTGGGATTCACAAGTGGGACTTCGTCATTCTCTCTTTGGGCCACTGTATAGTTAATTATTTATACAAAGTGGGCAGCTTCAATAGGAGAGATCTGCTCCACAGCAGAGTGACTAGGCAATTCTCTTGGAAAGTGGGAGACCGAAGTTCAAATCCCTGCTCCATATGCGGGGAGAACTTGAATCCAGGTCTCCCACACCCTGTGTGCTCTAACCCCTGGGATAAAGGTCATAAGGGGGACACTGCCCTCACCATTTTGTGTGGGTTTAGACATGCCCTAAGCCAGTGGTTCCCAACCTTTCCAGACTACTAGACCCCTTTTAGGAGTCTGATTTGTATTGTGTACCCCAAGTTTCACCTGACTTAAAACTACTTGCTTACAAAATCAGACATCAAAATACAAAAGTGTCACAGCACACTGTTACTGAAAAATTGCTTACTGTCTCATTTTGTCTGTATGAAATTTGTTTGGTTTGTACTGTCTTCGCTAGTGCTTTTTATGTATTCTGTTGTAAAACTAGGCAAATATCTAGATGTACCCCCTGGAAGAGCTCTGCATACCCCCAGGGGTACGTGTACCCCTGGTTGAGAACCACTACCCTAAGCACACCTACCAGATTGGACCCTGAAGGCAAGAGGGGCAGGGGAATGCCTATTTTGTGAATCCTGCTGGGACTTAGGTGAATTAGGCACTCAGCTGTTGGGCAGTGTCAGTACTTTAATGGTGGAAACATAGGAGCCATTGGATTCTAGGCACCTCTATAGGGTTAGGTGGCAGCTGTGCAGGGCTTTTGTGCAAGCCAGTGGTGCCTAAATGTTGGACTTAGGTGCCTAATTGCCACTTTCAGCACTTAAGTCCCCCTTGTGAATCCCACCCCTTGCCTTTTCTGGAATTAAGCTGTCAGAGAGATTGGGGGTGGTGGGGAGGAAGGTGCATTTTCAGCCAGGCAAGTAAAGATTAGAATTTTGTTTTAGAAGACAAAACAATTAAGGAGTTAAGCCTTCTCGCCCTGCCACCCCTAATTTGCAAGAGCTCATGCTTCAGCCATGGCTGTTGGTACATCAGCTACTCTCTATACTACTGCATGTGCATAGCAGATATTTGTAACTCCACTTTTCTGTACATTTCAGAGGTAAAGGAACATGGCACAAAAGAAGTGCCATGTGTGGAAAGTGTCTGAAAGTATCTGCTGCTGGTCAGGAGGTGGAGAATTAAAGTTCTGACACAGACAAAAATACACTTGGAGACACACTTTGATAGAACAAATTAGTCTCCAAGGGCATGGTCCTGCAATCCTTTTGTAGCCACATCTCCTGCTGAAGTCAGTGGGAATTTGCTTGTGTAGAAGGATTGGCCCCTTAAAAGACCCATTACTCAAATGAACAAAACTCTGGATAGCAAATGTAACTTTAGGGGCACATGGTAGTTTATAGCTCTCTCATTTGACTAAAGAGGATATAAGCAACACAGCAATAGCATGGGCTTTGGAGCACCATAACCACTCTTAACAAATAACCAGGGTACTCTTACAGGAAAGTAAAAATTGAGTTAATTTAGACTCTCTTTCTTATAGTTTAACCTCTTTCCAGTCATTTCAGCTATACCAAACTGTTTGATCTAGAAGAGGGCTAGGTAAGACTTTAACTACCTGGTTGACACAAAGTCTGCTCAAAAAAGACACTTTCAGCCAGATGTTCTTTTATTCTTTTTTCCTCTTCTTCCTTTTGCTGTTGCTCTTTTGCAGATGGAAGTAGTGTAGCAATGACTTCTTTTCGCCCTAATGCTTTCCTCTGGCTTTGCTCAGACACTTGGAGACGGAATTTGTCTATCAAACCATAGTGACAAGCCCGAACGTCTCTGTGACGAATCACACTGTAGATAAAAAAAATACATATATCAACATTTTTATGCAGCGCCCCTTTCAAGAGATTCATCTGCATGGTTTCAACTGCAGGGTTGGGGTCAGGATACCTATATTATGCCCACGACCACTATCTGAGCACCCAAAATTATGCAGTTCTATAGTATTTCATGTCAAGTCTCATATAGGACCCATAAATAGCAAAGCTTAACTAAATCTCTTCCGTACCTCTCTTTTATGAACAGTAGTTTGTTCACTTGGGTCTTCACTGTAGTTATAAATAATTATGAAAATGCATGTGTACCTAGTTTTAAAATCCCACAATATTTAGCCACCATAATGGGTATTGTAACTGCTTTTTTCCAAAATGCAAATTATTTACTTGAATGACCATAAAAACCTTTTGAGAGATATTAAGAGAAAATCCATATTTAAGCCAGTTAGCTTCAGGAAATGTGTAGTCTGACAAGTTTCAGTCCAGAGCAAGTTGCAAACTCCTATGAATAAAGCTTTCTAACTACACTGGCATTGGGTAGTGCCATTTTAACATTGTTCCAGGAAACTGATCACTTCAGCATTAAACTGATCACTTCAGCACAAAAAAGCCCATGATTTCTGCATTTTGGACTGAATTTTAAGAGACTGGATTTTGTGATCACATTAAGATACTCACAAAGGCTTGTTATTAAAATACTGGGTATGCCTAAAATTAACATGTAATTTAAGTAGGGCTTTCAAAAGGGAACAGAGAATTACAAAGGTTTGAAACACATCAGCCTGTAAACCATATGCTTATTGAACATAGGAGCTTCTTCGTAACCTCAGAAGCAAATGAGTTAGGCCATGATGGAGTTTCATCAAGTAAATTTATTTCACCCATGGCAAGTCAACTACCATTTGGTGAAGAGTGGGCTCTGTCTTGAGTAGATCACTGAGCAATGAAGGTTTGAGCCTGAAGTCCTTACTCGGCATGCACTTTTGCTTATGTCAGAGCTGCAGCTTCAAGCCTCTGATTTTTATGTGAAGACTTCTTGTGTTGCTTTAAATTCTTTTCTATTGTTAGTACCATGCTTCTATGCATCAGCATAAGCACAGTGTTATGTAAAGTTTCTGTTTGAGCATACACAGTTACTGTCAAGCAAAGAGATGTTTCTCTACAGACCCATATAAACAGATACATTCTCCTGTTTCTTACTGGAGAGCACTGCATAATTAGAAGCTCTGTAGAATATTGGTTTATCTGGCAAAGGGCCATATGTATACAGCACAGTTCATATCTAACCTCACAGCAATAAACATAGTTCCAAGAATGTTACCCATACTACAATCCGTTGGTGATCTTCCTGAAAACACCATCCTGGCCACTATGGATGCAGAAGCCCTCTACACAAAGATGGACTACAAGCCGTCAGGAACAGTATCCCCGATAATGTCACGGCAAACCTGATGGCTGAACTTTGTGACTTTGTCCTCACCCATAACTATTTCACATTTGCGGAGAATGTATACCTTCAAACCAGCAGCACTGCTACGGGTACCCGCATGGCCCCACAGTATGCCAACATTTTTACGGCTGACTTAGAATAACGCTTCCTCAGCTCTTGTCCCCTAATGCCCCTACCGTACTTGCGCTTCATTGAGGACATCTTCATCATCTGGACCCATGGAAAAAGAAGCCCTTGAGGAATTCCACCATGATTTCAACAATTTCCATCCCACCATCAACCTCGGCCTGGACCAGTCCACACAAGAGATCCACTTCCTGGACACTATCGTGTTAATAAGTGACGGTCACATAAACACCACCCTATACTGGAAACCTACTGACCGCTATGCCTACCTACATGCCTCCAGCTTTCATCCAGACCACACCACACGATCTATTGTCTACAGCCAAGTTCTACAATACAACTGCTTTGCTCCAACTCCTCAGACAGAGACAAACACCTACAAGATCTCTATCAAACATTCTTACAACTACAATACCCACCTGCTGAACTGAAGAAACAGATTGACAGAGCCAGAAGAGTACCCAGAAGTGACCTACTACAGGACAGGCCCAACAAAGAAAATAACAGAACGCCACTAGCCATCACCTTCAGCCTCCATCTAAAACCTCTCCAACACATCAAGGATCTATCCTTCAGGATAGGACGACCCATCACTCTCACAGATCTTGGGAGACAGCCCCCCCAATCTGAAGCAAATACTCACCAGCAACCACACACCACACAACAGAACCACTAACCCAGGAACCTATCTTTGCAACAAAGCCCGTTGCCAACTGTGTCCACATATCTATTCAGGGGACACCATCACAGGGCCTAATCACATGAGTCACACTATCAGAGGCTCGTTCACCTGCACATCTACCAATGTGATATATGCCATCATGTGCCAGCAATGCCCCTCTGCCATGTACCTTGGTCAAACTGGACAGTCTCTACGTAAAAGAATAAATGGACACAAATCAGACGTCAAGAATTATAACTTTCAAAAACCAGTCGGAGAACACTTCAATCTCTTTGGTCACTCGATTACAGACCTAAAAGTTGCAATTCTTCAACAAAAAAAACTTCAAAACCAGACTCCAACGAGAGACCGCTGAATTGGAATTAATTTGCAAACTGGATACAATTAACTTAGGCTTGAATAGAGACTGGGAGTGGATGGGTCATTACAGAAAGTAAAACTATTTCCCCCATGTTTATTCCCCCCCCACCGTTCCTCAGCCGTTCTTGTCAACTGCTGGAAATGGCCCACCTTGATTATCACTACAAAAGGCTTCCCCTCCCCCCCCGACCCCCGCTCTCCTGCTGGTAATAGTTCACCTTAAGTGATCACTCTCGTTACAGTGTGTATGGTAACACCCATTGTTTCATGTTCTCTATGTATATAAATCTCCCCACTGTATTTTCCAATGAATGCATCCGATGAAGTGAGCTGTAGCTCACGAAAGCTTATGCTTAAATAAATTTGTTAGTCTCTAAGGTGCCACAAGTACTCCTTTTCTTTTTGCGAATACAGACTAACACGGCTGCTACTCTGATATCTGTTACCCATACTGAGACTACTATCCGCCAAAACGGGGTCGGGTATTGGCTGCTGAAAATATATTCTTGAAGACCTAACTAAAGAAATTAATATTTTCTGAGATGGACCCAAAGATAATCAATCAAAATTCCATAAAGATCAGCTAGAGACCAGAATGACTCACTGATGCCAACTGTGTCCACATATTTATTCAAGTGACCTAATCATAGGACCTAATCACATTAGCCACACCATCAGGGGCTCGTTCCCCTGCACATCTACCAATGTGATATATGCCATCATGTGCCAGCAATGCCCCTCTGCCATGTACATTGGCCAAACCGGACAGTCTCTATGCAACAGAATAAATGGACACAAATCTGACATCAGGAATCATAACATTCAAAAACCGGTAGGAGAACACTTCAACCTCTCTGGCCATTCAGTAAAAGATTTAAGGGTGGCAATTTTGCATCAGAAAAGCTTCAAAAACAGACTCCAAGGAGAAACTGCTGAGCTTGAATTAATATGCAAACTAAATACCATTAACTTGGGTTTGAATAGAGACTGGTAATGGCTGGGTCATTACACATATTGAATCTATTTTCCTAAGTGAAGTATCCTCACACCTTCTTGTCAACTGTCTAAATGGGCCATCTTGATTATCACTGCAAAAGTTTTTTTCCTCCTGCTGATAATAGCTCATCTTAACTAATTAGCCTCTCACAGTTTGTATGGCAACGTCCAACTTATCTGCATGTATAATCTTCTTACTATATGTTCCATTCTACGCATCCAATGAAGTGGGCTGTAGCCCACGAAAGCTTATGCTCTAATAAATTTGTAGTCTCTGAAATTAGTCTCTAAGGTGCCACAAGTCCTCCTGTTCTTTTTGCGATACAGACTAACAAGGCTGCTACTCTGAAACCTGTCACTGAATTACAGTAATATAAACTTTCTGTGCACTGGTATGTGTTGATCATTTCTGTGCTTTTAACAATATTGCTGTCCCTACCCACTTATGCTTTTTATGGGAAGTGCTAGTTGGTTACACCCTTGAAATTCCCAATCAGTCCTGATGAGGCCAATGCCACAGTACCAGATGGGCTCCTCATAACAGAGTAGTGTCATCTGCTTTGCAGAGAACCAAGAGTTCATTAAAAGTAGGTCTTTTGCTAATGGCATGTATTGGCCAGAAAATATAAATAATGCTTTTTGGAGTAAATAAATGTTTAATCAGAAAACCCAATTTCCTTTTTATTTTTATTTATTTAATTTGGATACTTCATTCTCATGAAGCACACACTGCAGCCTTGAAGTCATGTAGGTCAGCATGAAGCTAACATACAGAAGCTGAAACATGTCATGCTATTTTGAATTAAATGAATATTTACCAATTTGTTCTGCTCTGAATTACAGCAGACAATACTGGTAAATCACGGTTAAAGCAAAAAACTAGAAGCCTTATTTAACATTTGGGGATTTCAAAGGTAACACTTAACTGGCCATCAGCCCTTCTCTGTGAGTGAGTTGGGGTCAAGGAAGGAGAAGAGAGATTTTTTTTTAAAAAATGGTAGGCAAGAGTATCTTCACTGAACAGGACAGCAGAAGTATACTCGCTATGTTACATGGTCATGGAAAGCATTCATATTAGAATTTTACAGATTCTCACTTTGCCAATCTGCAAATAATTCTCACCCAAGCCTGGTAATCTCACCCATTTTAGCAAAAAACCTTATATTATAGCAAAGTATTCTAGTGTGGTTCATATCAGAAAGACTTACTTTTAAAACTATACCACAGGATCTATGTATTAGCACTCTACTATTGTTTATTCATATTTACACAAGTAAAAAGGGGCACCTATCCAATGCTCCTGCCATAAATTACAAAAAAAGGGGGAGAAAGAGCCAGTAGAACCCAGAACTATGATCTTGTTAAATGAGTACTGTACACTTACCAAAATAATTTTACAACATACAGTTTGTGATTCATTGTCCTATATTCATTGTTTGTTTACTTTTCTTGCTAATTCATAAAGTTTAGCACCATACAATGTGTTTCTGCTCATTAATATAACTTTGAGGTTCGACCAGATTAAATCAGGAACTCACTTTATATATTCAAGTATTTAATTTTCTCTGGCTAATTCAGAATTACCAAGCAACTTGCATAAGCACTACGATATTTTAATGTTCAATAAAATGTGAATGATGAAGTGGGACTAGAGGTTAACATTTTCTGTAGTGTAGTTTAAAATATGCCTTTTAAATACTAGCTGAGGTTTAGACATACAATTAGCTGATGTAGTTATTCAAATCTTTAACAGTTAAGGAGAATTGAGCTATTTTTACTTACATATCAACACAACACTGAGGCTTCACTGCACCTGCAGCATCGACAACAACATATTTATTTGGAGTTGTACAAAGAACTGAAATGAAAAGGACACTGGTGGTTACATGGTATAAACCAGCAGTAGTAGAAATTTTAATAAACAGACTGTGGTAGAAGACAAATCTGAATTTTTGCATAACACCATAATTTTCATAACTTATGTTTGTTATACAAGCTACAGGTAGACTGATAAAGGAAACCTTAAATGAAACTGAACCTAAGAAACCCACCTTTGAATTTTAAGGCAAACTCATAGGGGTTATATAGAGTCAACACCTGTTTGTGTGTTGACTGGTCATCTGCATAAAATATAAGCTCCGTAGGAAACACAAAAACAGGAAGATTTCCTTCCACTAACTCTGGCTGTCTTTTTTGTTGCTGCATTGGCACCGAATCCTTCCTTCTGCTTCTTCTGCTCTTATGATTTTGTATCCCAAACAGATTTCTGGTTTTGAGTCATTTAAGAATTCCAACGCATTTTGGCAATTCTGCAGAAGAAAGGAAATGGAATGATGATAGTGTTTGTTTTCACAAGTCCATAGAACCTAATCAGGCAGCAGATGATACATAGATACAGCACTTAACATTTGGTTTTGAGCTTGTTTATAATTATTTTAAGCGCCTTCAAAAATGTTTAAGCTAACATAACTTTGACATTTTGTTTTCGTTCATTTTAAAAACTGCAGTAAAGTAAGTGACTCTGTCTTCCTTTCATTGGTATGATCGTTTGTATTGCTGTAGTGCCTCGTGCCTCAATCACGGACCAGGACCCCACTGTGCTAACAGCTCTACAAACACAGAACAAAGAGACAGGCCTTGCAGCAAAGAGCCTATAACCTGAGTATAAGACAAGAGACAACAGGTGGATCAAGACAGACAGGAGGGTACAAGGAAACAATGAGACAATATTGGTCAGCATGACAGCACACCAGTGGCCTAACTGAAACATCCCAAGGTACAGTACAATATGTTATGTATGTCATGTTTGGATATGAGCCAGGTCACAGTGCAAACATTCAGAACAAAAGAATCAGGAAGACCTTAATTCTTTGTCTAATAGCATCTCTGAAGTCTGATCATAATAAGATTTCAGTGTAAAGGCAGTGAATTAAAAATCAAGTAGGATGTATAAGATATTTGTCATTATTCAATAGTACAGGGTAGGTTTTGGATTTTTCCATCACATTTACTGAAGCTAAATCTGTAGTTATTATTTAAGTTGATGTTAAGAATGATTGTTTTCCCCAGTGTGTAACCAAAATCTCCCCCCTCTCCCCTCCGAGATTTTTCAGGTTCATTTCTGGAATCTCAATCCAAATAAAACAAAAAACAAAACTCCAAAACCTGTTCATATCACACTCCCAAATGTAATTTATAAGATAAAAATAAAGCCGCAATCATGCAAATACGTATACAGATGCTTGCCTTTATGCACTAAGTAATTCCACTGTAGTGAACAAGCCTATTCACAGTGCATGATGTTATGCAGGTGTTTAAGTCTTTGCAGGATTGTGGCCTAAAATAGTATTTCACTATGTTTTCTACAGGTTAATAGTCCTAGGAGGACACCAAGAGTCTGAGTGGAGACTCTTAGGCTGGGTGTACACTAGGAAATGTTCATTTTAAAAAATCCCACTTGTGCTGTCACCCACGGAGATGAAGCTCCTAGTGGTTTCCAGCATTTTACCACCGCATTGACGAAACCTGTTACTCATATGCAGCCTAACTGGTGGTTGCACCAGCGGTAATTTTGTTTCTAGAATTCCCTAGCGCAGACACAGCACAGCCCTAATGCTATGGATGGTAAATAAATGCCTAATTTTCTGTTTTAAATCATTACATTAAATTTCAAAGTGCCAATATTTTATATGAGAGCTAATTTTCACAAAACTTAGGCTTTTGATACCTAAACATCCAAAAGGGACTAAAAGCACTAGTCCATGCTCTACCAGATGTACAGAATCTAGTTCTGGTTCAAGATGTATGTAAACACTTTTTAAAAGATATTTATTTTTTAAAATTCTCCAAGAGTAGGTACATATTGTCCTTCCCAAGGGCTAACTATTCTTATTCCAGTATCTTTTTTCCTAAAATCCAATCTCCTTTCAAAATCCAGAATTACTTTCCAGTAGACTAGAATGTTAATTATATTCTTTTGATAACAAATCCCTAATGATGATATTCCTGATTGATGTTCTATTTTTTTTTTCAGAACACTTTTTAACTAGGCTACATATCAGCAAATGGCAATTTAGATTCTGTGCACTTCTCAGAATTTTGGTAAATACTTTTTGTTTCAGAAGAGATGAATAAGCTCTGCAATTATTTTGCACAGCAAGTCTAATTAGTAGGACTTGAGCATCTTAATGTGCTATTGCTAAATAATATTCACTGTTTCATTCAAACATACAAGAACTGTATCAGGGTCTAACTTGAAAGAATGCTAGCTGTCATAAATATGAAGGGAAGGGTAAACCCCTTTGAAATCCCTCCTGGCCAGGGGAAAGCTCCTCTCACCTGTAAAGGGTTAAGAAGCTAAAGGTAACCTCACTGGCACCTGACCAAAATGACCAATGAGGAGACAAGATACTTTCAAAAGCTGGGAGGAGGGAGAGAAACAAAGGGTCTGTGTGTCTGTCTATATTCTGTCTTTGCCGGGGATAGACCAGGAATGGAGTCTTAGAACTTTTAGTAAGTAATCTAGCTAGGTACGTGTTAGATTATGATTTCTTTAAATGGCTGAGAAAAGAACTGTGCTGAATAGAATAACTATTTCTGTCTGTGTATCTTTTTTGTAACTTAAGGTTTTGCCTAGAGGGCTTCTCTATGTTTTTGAATCTAATTACCCTGTAAGGTATCTACCATCCTGATTTTACAGGGGGGATTTCTTTATTTCTATTTACTTCTATTTTTATTAAAAGTCTTCTTGTAAGAAAACTGAATGCTTTTTCATTGTTCTCAGGTCCAAGGGTTTGGGTCTGTGGTCACCTATGCAAATTGGTGAGGCTTTTTATCCAACATTTCCCAGGAAAGGGGAGGTGCAAGTGTTGGGAGGATTGTTCATTGTTCTTAAGATCCAAGGGTCTGGGTCTGTAGTCACCTAGGCAAATTGGTGAGGCTTTTTACCAAACCTTGTCCAGGAAGTGGGGTGCAAGGTTTTGGGAAGTATTTTGGGGGGAAAGACGTGTCCAAACAGCTCTTCCCCAGTAACCAGTATTAGTTTGGTGGTGGTAGCGGCCAGTCCAAGGACAACGGGGGGAATATTTTGTACCTTGGGGAAGTTTTGACCTAAACTGGTAAAGATAAGCTTAGGAGGTTTTTCATGCAGGTCCCCACATCTGTACCCTAGAGTTCAGAGTGGGGGAGGAACCTTGACACCAGCTCACAGGAATACAAAACTGTTTTTAAATAAACTATTTCTTACAGGCAATAGAAGAAGAGAGAATTCTAGGAAAAGTTAATTACAGTGCAATATACCGTAAGGAATTAAAGAACATAAGATACTAAAAGCTCTCATTAATATAAAATCTCTATATATGCATTTGGCTAAACTGCACAAAAGATTTTTTTCTAATGATTATTTTAAACAGAGGTGGACAAACTACAGCCCACGGGCCACATCCAGCCTGCGGGACCGTCCTTCCCGGCCCTTGAGCCCCCGGCTGGGAAGGCTAGCCCCTGGCCCCTCCCCTGCAGCCTCAGCTCACCGTGCCACCAGCGCTGTGGGCAGCGCGGCTGTGAGCTCCTGCCAGGCAGCGCAGCTGCGAGAGCCGCCGGCTTGCCCCGGTGTTCTAGACTGCGCAGCAGCGGGTCCCGGGAGGGGGCGGTCAGGGGACAAGGAGTAAGGGGGTTGGATGGGTCAGAGGTTCAGAGGGGGGCAGGAAGTGGGAGGGGGCGGATGCCAAGCTGTTTGAAGCACAGCCTTCCCTACCCGGCCCTCCATACAGTTTCGGAACCCTGATGTGGCCCTCAGGCCAAAAAGTTTGCCCACTCCTGGTTTTAAACATACTTACTACATTAGTGAATAACTAACAGAAAAGATATTTTTGGATATTTTGAAATATTTTATTGGATTACTGAAGTTCCAATAAATGTGATTCTTTATTCTTCAATATTACATTTTATTATTGTTTCTTTTTATTTTAACACATGCATTGGATTCATTGCAGATTCCCTAATCCTACCTCAACTCCAAATGTCATGTTTTTTTGTTTGTTTTTTTAAATATACATATGTATCATGCGGTTGCTTCCACTTGTCATTTATTGGCTGGGTAAAAAGTTATTATTCAAACTGGTATCAATGGAAAATGGTAAGTTTTCACCAACGTGAAGGACAGCATACACTAGACTCTTTTGCATCATAGCAACATCAGCTAGGAATGTGACTATTTTTGTGACAATGCTTTACTGACAAAAGCCTTTATGATGATAGTTATACCAGCATAAAAGTTCTTTTGCCAGTATAACTTATTATGTTTGCTGAATCACTATAAACTATACTAGCAAAAGCACTTTTTATAAGCTACATCTATACTGAAGGGTCTGCTGTGTAACTATAATACCTACGTCTTATATAGCACTTTTCATAGTAGATTTCAAAGTGCTTTATAAAAGAGGTCTATAACAGGAAAGCTCATTAGAATCAAAGGGACTATTAACAACACACAAAGCTAAGCATGGGCATAAATCTTTGCAGGATCAGGGCCTAAGGCCTCCTGCAAACTAATCAACACAGGTGGACTCCTGCACCTGTATGGAGCCTCAGTGATGACAATGAGATTCTGTAAGTGCAGCGATCCACATGCACACAGCTCATATCATCTTAGCAGTATTAGCTGTTTTGCCAACAGACTATACAGTAGGACAGCTACTCTACAGTGATGACTTTTCAGGTCAATAAAGGAATCTTCCTCCATAAGGTACCTAAAAGTACGCTGCTTGTGTCATGATAGCACTGGTTTGCCAGCATTTCCCTTAGAAACTCCTTTTTACAAGAAGTTTTAACTTGGCAGAGAAAAGCTGGACTAAAATGTAACTTATTTCTCCAAGCATAGAATTTTGATTTTGGGATACTTTTTAGTTTAATAAAAAAGTGAAAATAAAATCAGGAAGTTTTCAAATGTAAGATTCTGTTCTATTCATGTTCTTATAACCAGCTAATCACCATGGTTTCTGAGCACAGTCTATACTCCTTTTTTGTATTCAGGACTACAAATGGCTTCTTTTAAAAGGGGGAAATTGGGTAAGCAATTTATTCAGAACAATGAGCTAATCTTGAAAAAGGCCTTTTGTATGTACATTACTTTTCTGAGATTTTAAACTGCACATCTCTGATTTAAGAAGTCTTGTTACAATGTAACATGTACAAGGCATTGTACTGGAGCTATCATCTACTAGCTCAGTGGTTTTTCAACCCTGGGGTCCACAGACTACGTCTAAGATTTTCAAAAGTGTCCGCACCTCCATTCAAGATTTTTTAGAAGTCCACAAATGAAAAAAGATTGAAAATCACTGTAATAGCTAAATAATGACTATTGTAAAAGTTTTCCCCATTGGTATACTCAAAGTATGTCAAGTTCCAAAATACGATCAGGATATTGATATGTTTTCATTATGTATATACACACAGTAAGAAACAGTCCCCTTCAGAATCATTACAGACTAAAAGACCAGTAAGAAATTCTTGTCCTTTCAGATTTGTCAAGAAATCAATACAGTTTGATGTTAAAGTTAAGTATTAGAATGAGATTCCAACAGCTCAATCAATTTTTTTTGTTTATTAGGGTAATTTTAGATGGCCTTAATATATACCTACACAATCTACATGTTAAACTTCCTGTAATTACTTGGGAGAGAGAATTATCTAGTGATTAGAAGACAGAATCAGAAGCCAAGACAGCTAGGTTCTACTATTTCTAGCTTTCATTGACTCACTGTGTGATCTTGAGCAAATTAGTTAACCTCTCTGTGCCTCGGATTGTTAGTCTATAAAGGCCTCAATTTAGCAAGGTACTGAAGTATGTATGTTGTCCCATTTAAATCTATGGGACTACTCAGAAGCATATTTTGCAGAAGAGGAGCCAAAATGGTTGTACTACTATTTACCTACCTCACATGGCACTGTGAAATGCAAGTAATACTTGCAAGGTGCTTTGAGATCTCATAATTTCAAAGTACTGTATTATTATCTATTACATCATATTAATGAGATACAAGAAGCATGATTTTTCGCGTCTAATTTTATAAGTTTCTGCAGGAATTCTTTCCCTTGAAAGATATTTTAAATAATGAATGCAAAAATTATACTTGGCTAAAACTAGGTAGGTCACAAAGACAAAAACAAGGAAATTCTAAGTAACACTTGTGCACAGTTTCTGATCCATTCAGTTTGTTAGGTAATACAGAATTTTCAATAATGTAAATCAATCTCAATCTGAATTTCCTTATTTTTTGTGGTGCTTACAATAGTTTTAAATGGAAACTGGGTATGTTAATACTGAATGTTGTTTTTCTCCAGGTCAGGTAAAGCTGTCAAATCAGGAAAAAAGAAATCCAAGCATCTGTTGGAAACTGACTTTTGAGTTCGGCTAGCTGGGAAAAATATCTGTTTTTCCTAAATGTACTAATGAGACAAAGAGAAGGGGAAGCATTGACACACCCTAACTTTTTCAAAATACTTTCCAGCCGTGAGCAGTAAAGCTATGTCATAATCAGCTCGCCCCTCGATGCTCCCCACCCCAGTTCGAGCCCTGCCCTACTTCGCAGCTTTTGATTTTCTAGACAGGGGCGAACACGGCGGAAGGGCGAGTTGAGGAGGAGGGTTTCCAAGCCCCTCTCCCTTGCATGATGAGCGGGCAGGCTGGGGTGAGCTCCCAGCCCTTTCCTCCTTCACCCCAGGCAAGTGGCGGCTGGCCGGGAGGCCCGTCCCAGCTTGGCGGCTGCTCGCAGGACCCCGCTGGGCGCCTGTGGCCGGGAGGGTACGGCTCCCGGCGGGCCGGCCGCAGGTCCCCGCGCCGGCTCGGGGGCAGCCAGGCTCCGCAGCTCCCCCGCGCGGCGGCTCTGCGGCTGCACCACGTGGCGCAGCTCACGTGAGCGTGTTTACAGCGGCCGGACACGGTTGATGTGCCGGGACCTGTCAACGGGGGAGGGGGGGAGCGGCGGGAGCCCGACCCCGCGCTGCCAGCGGTCCCGGTCCTCTGCACCCGCCAGCGAGGCCCGACGCTGCCGCTGCCACCCCACGGCAGAGCGGCTACGCCCGGCTCCAACCCGGGGGGAATAGGACACGCCTCAGGGCCCGGCTCTTCCCCCCGCTGGGCCCGGATCCGAGCTGCCTCGGGCCGGGAGCCCCCGTCCCTGCCCCCACTCACGGGTGCCGGGGTTCCCGCCGCCCCGCCCGGCCTGTCAGAAGCGGGGCTCGCAGCCGCCTCGGACCCCGAGCCTGCCCCGGAGCCCCCCTGCTGGGGCCGGGGGAGCCGCGGACCCCCCTCAGCCCCTGCCGGCTCCCGCACTCACCCCTCGGGGCCCGCCGGGTCCTGGCTCGCCGGCTGCCTGTGCGGAGCCCCTTTGTCAGCCCCCCCGCCCGACACTGCAGGGAGCGTCGTCGCTATGGCCGCCGGGATCGTGGCTGACTCGCCGTCTCCGAGTGACGTCACGGCCCGCCCACCGCGCGCGCGCCCTGCGGCTCGCGCCGCTGTCTCTGAGCGTTCGCCTCGCGCCGGCGCTGGGGCCGGGCGGTTGCCAGGGCTCGTGACACGCCCCCTCCCCCCTCTCGTGGGCCTCTTCGCCCCTGGCCGGGTCTGGTCAACCTGCCGGGCTGACCCCTTTTCTGTGGGGGTCACAGACCTGTGGTGATAAATGGGCCGCAGCCAGCATGTCACCTCGTCCCACGCTAACCTCAGGGACTCGGAAACAAATGGTGCACACAGTCTAGGTACCTGTGTGCCTGCCAGTTACCCTGGGCGTCCCTGTGCCCTCCCCCCCGGATTGTGGCCTTCCCTTGTTGTATTTTGGCTTTGTCAAATGGAACTGGTTTTGGTGGGACCGCGTCTTCCTGTGTGTGTCAGTGCCCAGCACGCCAAGTGTTTGAGTCTGATTTGGGCCCTTATGCACTACGGTACGAACGCCTAATCCTGCCGGCTCGTTCCAGGCGGTCAGATGAACACCCTGCCGTTTGTTTTCAGTACCAATGAATATAAGCAAAACAGTTGAATGATTTATATTTATATTGGCCTTTCAAAGAGCAGGATTCCAGAATCTTTTAGAAGTTACATCATGGCTGTCACTCTACCGACCACTGAAATACGGCCACCTCTGATGCGGAGCACCGCAGCCATTTAATACTTCACAATAACAATATGCAACAATTCAGGACAGGAAGTGACTTTTTGTCCAGTTGTAATTATAGGGGGATTTTAAAATAGGAAGAAAGGCATTATAGTGAAACTTAGCCAAGATGATAGTGCTAACACCCATCCTCTCACAAATGTCTCCTATGTGTCATACAGTCACTAATGTCTGCACCAGGAATTGGAATCTTAGAACCACATATTATTTGCTTTTTCAGTTTATCATTAATTCTTAATGCACAAATTTAAATCTTTTCCAAATCTCTGAAAATTTATGCAGTGAAAGTATAATAGTGGCAAATATTCTGGTAATACGTAATATTTCTCTTTGAGAGACTTAAGTGAGCCAAAACAGCTTAATGTTCAGTCTGTTAAAAATTAGCTGAAGAATTATTGTTGAACATTTATGCTGGCAGACTTTTAAGTATTCAGAATACTTTTGGAAAGCTAGGACCCTTGTATTATGCACTAATCAAATGTACCATGTTTTCTTTGTTTGAAAACCTGTCTTAGCAGAAGATCCCTAATGCAGTAGTCAAGAACATGCTTCAAAAGCTGATACAGCTCATTTATAAAAAAAACAACAACCCTGGATTATTATAAGAATGCGTTTTCTTTTTCATTTCTCTTTCAGGATAAAACTTCTGGTTCCCCAGGCCACCTCACATACTGAATAACAATTGGCTCCACTGACTACCTGCTGCAAATTTGAAATGCGTGTTCATCTCCTGCCTAGTCTTCCCAACCATGACGCTTGCTTGTACTAGGTTATTTTGTTTACCGATGTTGTATTGAGTCTATTGGGTTGCAGGAATTACCATACTTGGTGAGACCAGTAGTTTGTCTAGTCTGATATCCTGTCTCTGACTGTGGCCAATACCTGAAGCTTCTGAGAAAAGTGAAAAAACTCACATATTGGACAATTGTGCAGTAACTTTCTCCTCGGGAGGTTTCCTGCTAACTCCAGGCAGTTAGGCCCAGTTCTGCAAAGGTATTTAGGCTCCTAACTTCCATTAGGGATCTGGACCCTAGTGACTGGCTTACATCTTGAAGCATGATGAGGGGTTTTACTCCTTATATATCTTTATTCTAGCTAGTGTAACTTCACAAAATAAATCTGGAACAGCTAACTTCACTGGTCATTTTTTATTTGTAGGGTGGTAGTACCTAAAGACCACAGCCCCATCATGCTGTATAAACATAACAAAGAGACCCTAGTACCTACCTCAAAGAACTTACAGCCTAATAAAAGGAGAGACAATAGATGGCTACTCTCTGATCTTATAATTAAATTGTATGCTCTGCAAAGTAGGCACAAGACGACTGTGAGATGCTACTAGTTAGACTACATAAGCAGCAGTCACAGCACCCCATCTGCCTAACCATTTTCGAATATTTTGTAGGCACCATGGTATAGGAGAGTTTTAAGAAGGGATTTGAAGGAGGACAATTTGGTGGCTTTTTGGATATTTACAGGGAGCTCCTCACATGAATAAGGGGTAGCACAGGAGAAAGCAGAAGATGCTTGCTGGAAAATTTTATAAATGGGCATTCAAGACAGACTGACATCATTTGCAGAATAGAGGCAGGCTTCAGTGTCTTGATATAGTATAAGAGATAACAAGTAGGCTTTGAAGGGACTTAAAAGTGAAGACAAGAAAATGATCTTTGCAGTAGCATTTTGAATGGATATAAATGGGACAAAGTGGGATTTCTCAAGGCCAGAAAGGAGGAAGTTGGAGTAGTTGGGATGAGAGATGATGAGGGTCTGGATAAAAGTTTACCTATGGGAATGGAGAAGAAAGGCCATATTTTAGAGACATTCTGGAGGAAGAAGCAGCAAAATACAGCCTGGATATGTGATCCTAGAAAGAGGACTGATTCAAATGGTATGTCTGCTTGGGTTTTCTACTTTAAGTTAATTGATTGGGGACGTGGGATACCAGGAGGAAGCACGAGCAGGAGAGCGCGAGAGTGTAGGGCTCCTGCCTCACACTAAGAAAGCAGGACAAACAGCAAGTTATCTCAAGTGCCTATACACAAATGCAAGAAGCCTGGGAAACAAGCAAGGAGAACTGGAAGTCCTGCCACAGTCAAGGAATTATGATGTGACTGGAATAACAGAGACTTGGTGGGATAACTCACATGACTGGAGTACTGACATGGATGGATATAAACTGTTCAGGAAGGACAGGCAGGGCAGAAAAGGTCGGGGAGTTGCATTGTATGGAAGAGAGCAGTATGACTGCTCAGAGCTCTGGTATGAAATTGCAGAAAAACCTGAGAGTCCCTGGATTAAGTTTAGAAGTGTGAGCAACAAGAGTGATGTGGTGGTAGGAGTCTGCTATAGACCACCAGACCAGGGGGATGAGGTGGATGAGGCTTTCTTCCGGCAACTAACGGAAGTTACTAGATCGCAGGCCCTGGTTCTCATGGGAGACTTCAAACACCCTGATATCTGCTGGGAGAGCAATACAGCGGTGCACAGACAATCCAGGAAGTTTTTGGAAAGTGTAGAGGACAATTTCCTGGTGCAAGTGCTGGAGGAACCAACTAAGGGCAGAGCTCTTTTTGACCTGCTGCTCACAAACCAGGAAGAATTAGTAGGGGAAGCAAAAGTGGATGGGAACCTGGGAGGCAGTGACCATGAGATGGTCGAGTTCAGGATCCTGACACAAGGAAGAAAGGAGAGCAGCAGAATATGGACCCTGGACTTCAGAAAAGCAGACTTTGACTCCCTCAGGGAACTGATGGGCAGGATCCCCTGGGAGAATAACACGAGCTGGCTGTATTTTAAAGAATCCTTATTGAGGTTATAGCCTGACGTGACGTGTAGAAAGAATAGTAAATATGGCAGGTGACCAGCTTGGCTTCACAGTGAAATCCTTGCTGATCTTAAACACAAAAAAGAAGCTTACAAGAAGTGGAAGATTGGACAAATGACCAGGGAAGAGTATAAAAATATTGCTCGGGCATGCAGGAGTGAAATCAGGAAGGCCAAATCACACCTGGAGTGACAGCTAGCAAGAGATGTTAAGAGTAACAAGAAGGGTTTCTTCAGGTATGTTAGTAACAAGAAGAAAGTCAAGGAAAGTGTCAAGCAAGTTAAAGAAGTATGGGCTGGATGAGTGGACTATAAGGTGGATAGAAAGCTGGCTAGATTGTCGGGCTCAACAGGTAAAAATTGGAAAAATTGGAAAGCGTCCAGCGGAGGGCAACAAAAATGATTAGGGGCCTGGAACACATGACTTCTGAGGAGAGACTGGGGGAACTGGGATTGTTTAGTCTGCGGAAGAGAAGAATAGGGGGGATTTGATAGCTGCTTTCAACTACCTGAAAGGGGGTTCCAGAGAGGATGGCTCTAGACTGTTCTCAGTGGTAGCAGATGACAGAACGAGGAGTTATGGTCTCAAGTTGCAGTGGGGGAGGTTTAGGTTGGATATTAGGAAAAACTTTTTTACTAGGAGGGAATGCGTTACTTAGGGAGGTGGTGGAATCTCCTTCCTTAGAAGTTTTTAAGGTCAGGCTTGACAAAGCCCTGGCTGGGATGATTTAATTGGGGATCGGTCCTGCTTTGAGCAAGGGGTTGGACTAGATGCCCTCCTGAGGTCCCTTCCAACCCTGATATTCTATGATTCTATGAATTAACTTGAGGTAGTTAACACCCTTATAAAGGCTAATTTTGACTTTCTCCCAATGTTTGTTCCAGGCGACAATTGTTTGTGGTTTACCATAAAGATAAGAGAAGTGTACTTGGTGAAGACTACATCAAGTGACTGCCCATTTTGGTGCATGGGAAAATTAATCCCAGACTGCAGGTCAAATGAAGAAGTGAGAACAGAAACGTCGCAGTGCACTCTCCTAATATTTTCTCTGTAAACTTTGTCCATTGGGAGCACAAATTAAAGATAAGACATCCAGTTCAGTCTCTTGCTGTGTTATGCAATATACTTAATAAATCTATGCCAGGTCTGTGCCAGTAGGGACAGCTAGGGCAGTTGTCCCATGCTTTATGGGAGCCCAGGCCTGGGAATGTCCAGTGACTGGGATTGTGCAATGCAGCACCATGTCTGGTCATGCCTGCCTAGCTGCTGAGGGAAGTCAGCAGTAGGAAGGTGTTTTGAAAATATCATGGAGACAGTATAAGGAGCCTGTACCTAGTAAAAGTATAGGGCAAGAAAGGGGAATGGCAAAATTAGGAGCAGATATAAAGGAAATTGAAAGAAAATCAGTTGGGCAAGTGGGAATCAGTTACAAATAGTGGAGGGTAAAAGAAAAATAGTGGAGAGGGGAGCAAAGACAAGGGACCTGTGGGGGTGCAGG